AATCTCTGTGCCAATTTTAACAGTACCTCATGTTAAAATACTGAATTACTTTAACGATCATTTTTTGTGCTTATCGTATAGACATTGGAAATCATAAATATCATTTCTGCATCTTTCCCATTATTTCCTCCTGGAAATTATTAATTGCCCCCTTAATAACATTAATAGCGCATTCTATGTGCGTATTGACTCTGGACCTCCTGATACTGTTTCAGCTTTTTTCATACCTGGTATTCTTCATAATAGTTGATGTAATAGTTTTGCTTTGACTTTTTCTCCCTCCCCATAAATTGACTAATGTTATTTATCCTTATCCTATTAAATGTGTTCCTTTAAGGGCTTCATAAGTGGCCCTGGATTTTTGCCAGGAACTTACGTCAGCCATGTAGCTAGCTGTTCATTTCTCATAATCATCTTCCTTTAAAGAAAGAATCTTCAACAAGAAGGGATTTAAAAAAATAATTGTGATGTTTCGTTCTTTAATTTCCTATCTAGAATCAGAAATATGTAAGTTTCTTCTAATTTTACCATTTGCTCCCATGTGGTCGTTGACTTAAGGCAGGCTCTCCTTTTCAAACATCCTCCAAGCAGATAACCTCGTTCTACATGGATCAGGGCAGGTTAGCTACAGTCATTTCTTTATCCCTCCCTGTGGATTAGCTTCACAAAACACATCATCTACCTGGAAAATCATTGGGCATATAGATACTGGAGGAGTAAGAGCAATCCTTAGAATCACTGATTCAAAGACAAAATCTTAGGAGATGGTGATAGTGGTTGGAAGGATGAGATTAATGGAGTAACATGGTAATAAAAAAGAATGCAATTCTTTGATAAGTTTCTCTACAAATGTGTTTTCTCATATCATCCTGGAGATTGTCCCTGCCTAACAAATCAGACTGATGGTAGAACTAGAAGATAATTTTTTAAAGCTTCTGAATTCCAGGGACTATATATAAAATCTATGCAAGGCAAACAAATAGTCCTAAATGTCATATATAGGTGTCATCAACCCCAGAAAGGCTTAGACTTTATGAGGGAAGTTGCTCTCTTTTAGTATATGTGCCGCCGAAGCGAGCAAGAGCAGTTGGTGACACTTGAGAAGCCATAACTGCCAAGATGAGTTGAGATCCCCTTTAGAATTTTATATCGAAATCTGTCATGGAGATGCCCCTTTTAAAAAATTCTTATTTTTGAATTATAGTTGATTTACAATATTATATTAGCTTCAGGTGAACACCATAGTGATTAGACATTTATATATCTTATAGGTGATCACCACAATAAGTCTAGTACTCCTCTGTCACTGTACATAGTTATTATGACATTATCGATTATATTCCCTATGCTGTACATCACATCCCTGTGACTTATTTTATAACTAGCAGCTTGTGCTTCTAACTCCTTTTCATCTTCTTCACCTGTCTCCCCACCATCCACCCCTCTGGAAACCAGCAGTTTGTTCTTTGTTCTTTATTTCTGTTTGCAGTCATTATGGAAAACTCTATGGAGGTTCTTGAAAAAAATTAAAAATAGAACTAACGTATGACCCAGCAATCCCACTTCTGGGTATTTATCCAAAAAAATTAAAAACACTAACTCAGAAAGATGTATGCACCCCTATATTCATTGCAGCATTATTTACAACAGCCAAAATATGGAAATAATTAAACGTCCATTGATAAATGGAAAAAAAGATATGGTGCATATATTTATTATGAAATATTACTCAGCCATAAAAAAGAAATTAAATCTTGCCTTTTGTGACAACATGGATGGACCCAGAAGGTATTCTGTTAAGTGAAATAAGTCAGACAGAAGAAGACAAATACCATGTGATTTCACTTATATATGGACTCTAAAAAACAAAACAAACAAAATGGCCTTTTGTTTCAGAGACATACTAATCTGGAAATTTGAAATTTGCCCATTTGACTCAGTTTTCTTTAACCTTGAATGGATGTTTTCATTTGTTTTGATAAAAGACACATATCTATTTCTGTACATCTAGTATTTCAGTGACTTTCAAACTATTTTGACCCTGACCAACAGTAAGAAAGACATTTACATTGCAATCCATCCAATCACCCATCCATCTATATATATCTGAAAAAAAGTACTAAGCCCTATTATGCATAATCTCGGATATTTTCTATTCTAGTCTATTCCATTTTATAAAAACGCTGGTCTCAACCCACTTGATTTCATGACACATTAAGGGGTCACGACCTGTAGTTTAAAAAACACTGCTGTCTATGCCATGCCACAGGCCTA